CTTATTAACTACTATAGGTATGGAACAGGGGTCTTCAATGAGGATAAGGACCATATTAAATTTCCTGCTATAGATGTCTGTCAGTCTGAGTGCCTTCAGTTGGCTAGCATGGTATAATTTTAAGAAAAATATATGTTGTACTCCACCATTGGCTTTAAATAACAAATATTTATGGGTATCTTACTCTAATTACATTTCTAATGCCTTATTTGTTTTGAAGAACAAATCTTGTTTGTTGTCTCATGTTTGTTTTGAAGAACTTCTGCTTTAGGTTTGAAAACCTCTTCCTCTCAAGTTCATCCATAGTGTGGGTGGCCACAGTTAAAGTTAAGGAAATGCACTGTAAAATACATAGGAAGCTGAGATGCCCAACTTGACCCTGACTATCTGGAACAGTTATCACTTGGTAAAGTACAAAAATACTTAACATCTCTCTTGAGTTTACTTTAAGGAGACTGTTTTCATTGGTGGTCAGAGTTCAGGGTACGTATTACACTTAACTGTTAAGCTGTTACTAATCATTTAACTTGCATTTGAGTACCCCTCTGCTTGTTTGTGAAGCGATTACAGAGAAATGCTGTATTTTAGGAATGGTGTGCCAAATTACTTCTCACAACTGAGAAAAACTAGAACAGCAAGTGATTGAAGTGGAGGACTGAGTAGAGAATTACCCTTTTCCTCTGTTCACTGGAAAATTGAAGTATCTGACTAGATACTTACACAGACAGAGATCTGTCTGCAGTTCTTGGTGTCCTCAGATGGTTTCCTGGATTTAGGAGTAACGCAGGAAGTTTCACTCCCATGTAAGCTTTGCCCATCACCCTGGCTTGGCCCCTTAAGCAAAAGTCAGTAGCCTGGCTGCCCTCTTCCATCTGATATTGCTGTACTCTGTGGGCTGCCACACGGCTGGGGTTCTGTGATTATTTGTTCTTTTCTTGATTCTAGTAAAGAGTGGTTATTATGAGATTATGTACATGTTATTAGGACTAGCATAGTTGATTCTTTTATTTATTTTTCCCCCATCTGGCTACATATTGTCTTTGCAGAGGATATTTTTCAGTTTAATATCTCACAAGGCACCTTGAGAACACTGTTTTTAGTGTATATGTAGTCATTGACTCATATCATCTCATAAATTACTTTTATTTAATGTCACTTTTAAAATATTGTTGTACATACTTAACTGGATGTGTGTGATTATGTTTGTGTACATATAAAGGAAACTTCCCGTAATTTCTGATTCCTGTTAAGAGAAAAGGTTGTAGGATTTACTCTGTTTTACTCTGAAGTCCATCTTTCTGTTATCTCAGAAAAGAAGTAAACCTGACATACAACATCCAGTTATCCTGAGAAAATTTTTCACACTGTCAAAAAGCAGACTCGGTATAAGGGTAGCGTCACTGGTGATGATACCAAGCATATACCAAGAATAATTACTGAGTGAGGGTTTGGCCAGAAAAGGTTCAGAGTGCTGATGAAGGAAGTTCATAACCACTGCAGATTTACTATGAGGCACTATAAGCCGCTCAGAACTCTCTTATGCTTTTATTACACTTATTATACTCTTATGATACTAATTAATAGTACTTATTCCTCAAAGGGGTTGTTGTGTTTTTTTTTTGTGAGAGGAATTGAGAAAAAATAAAGCCACTGCTATGGGATGGCTTTCTCCAGGATCTGGTTGCTAGCTGGGAGCATGACAAAGGTATCTTTTCTGCTGCTTTTAAAGAGAGACAGTAAAAACCCCAAACCTTTAATTAAAGCAAATATTTTTAGAAATCTACAGGAAAAAAAAATACAGTTTTGTGAATGAGCTTTCATTAGCCGTTTGTAGTGGTATTTGGTATATGCATACAAATCTAAATGTAAATCCCCTGTTCCTTATTTGAATTCTCTTGCCTGCTTTTTTCAGTTGGTCAAAAGAATGTGTCAAAATGAAGTCTACCTCACTGTTGGCAGGTGTACACAGCAAAACTTCATTTTGTTATACAGAGCCTTTAGACAGCAGCCAAGGAGCAAATTTTTGTAATGCATAGTACTTTCATAGTTAATTTCATAGTGAAATTCTAGCAACTTCATTTGAATGCCAGCCTTTTTAAGCACACTGAATTCTTTAATAAGGGTAATTGTAATCCATTGCTCTTAAATAGAATTATACTTCTTGGAAAATGACACACGAAGCAGCTCAAAGGCACATTAGACTCAGGAAATGGGCACTTTCTCCTCAGGTTTTTTTTTTTGTTTGTTTTATGAGAAAACAGAATATTTCTGTTTCACCGCTATGATATAAGCCCTTTCTTAAATGTTAATATTGCTTATAAAGCAATGCCATAATTACTATTTTCTATACGACAAGAACCCACTGATTTCCTGGAATAATTCTTGAAAAATAGATCTTTGGAATAGGTTGTTCTGCAAGCAGTAAAACTGTTAATTCCTTATCAGTCTGTGTGTGCAAATGAGCTCCTACATGAAACAACAAAGATTCTGTAATGACTTACACTACAGGCTTTCCCAAAGGGGCATTCATAAGATCTCTCCAGGGATCTGTTTTCAAAACAGTTTTAGAAAGTCAATAGCTCTAGTTCTCTGCTCCTGTGTCAAATTTGAACTAATTTTATAAAATATTCAAAAGAGACCTGACAGAAAACAAAGTCGCATTAATCATATTTCGTTAGGGAACTTGGGTTCAAAATAGTACTACTGGTTAAGGGGCTCTAATTTCCTGATTTTGCATAAGATCAGGTTGATGATACTAGCTTTTCCTACTACTGTTCCTCCTAGATCTCTAGTATTTCTTATATGCAAGATAGTGTTGTTACTGAGAACTAGTTTTTGTGGCATCTTGTTTCTGGGAAGTAATCCCTAACAGTGGTAGCTTGAAAGAAAATACAGCAGGTGATGTTATCATGGTAAGTAAGTTACCATAGTGCTAAAAAGACACCGAAATACAGACCCTCATTTTTTGTCTTCCTGCCTTCCTCTTTATCCACATCCTATCCCACTCCTTCCTTACCTATAAATGTACCAACATGAGTTAGTATGCACTAATATATAACACCGAAGAGATTTAAAAAAGAACAAGAAAAAAGCTTTCAAGTTTCCACTGTGTTCCAGTCTTTTGGTATTGTTTGTCCAGGCAAGGCTAGTATGGCTCTTTTTCAGCTTTGTTTTGTGCCTCTCCATCTGTTGATCCAAACTCTCATTCTCCTTCATATTTATAACTTCCTTGAGAAGGACACTCAATATTTTTTTGTCTTGATGATTTATTTTTCTGTAAACTAGCTCTTATGCTTTCCTCTGGGTTGTGGCTTAGATCCAAACATTTTGTGCCTTCATGTACAGACAGCTGTCAACTAAGAGCGGAGCACTTTATGGGTACCTCTCAGATACCTTAAACAGCTGCACTGTTGTTTGAAATCCAATGCCTCATCCCAAATCCCTTTGAATCAGTGAGAAGAGATTCAGTTATCCCTCAGCTTTTGAGGACACTGCATTAATTCCATAGATAAGTTTTTACCAACAGAACATATACTGTAAAAACTTCATGAAGAAGCAATAAAACTTTCGTTTTTTGAAATACATTCAGGCCACTGTAGGTAAGGGGAAAGGCCTATGGCTATACTCACTAAAATTTATACTAGAGCTCCAGGAATAGCCTTTGCAAATTTTTGAAAATCTTTTTAAAAAAATAAACATTGGCTAAAAATTGTTAACTTTTACATACTGGTGATATAGCACAAAATAATTTCCCTTGGTTTCCAGAAGTTTTCCACTGTTTTGTGTATTGTCGGAGACTGTATCTCATGGGACTTTTTGGTGAGGTGCACTGTACTGAACAAAATAAAAATGATCTAAGTTCTCTGCAAGAATTTCACTGAAATATTCTCTATGTATTCTCAGGCCCACATGTGCTCCAGAGTTTCCAGGTCTGGATGTTTGTCCAGACTCCTGCCAGTTACATGTCAGGGCAAAATTTGTATAGGTACTGATGCCATCATTGTAGTTTGTCATTTCTGTGCAAAGGAAAGGACCCTTAGCCAGGACCCCCAGGGCATGCTGTGAAATGCTGTGGCAGATCATTTAGATGCAACCACATATAGCATGTAGAAACAGTCTATAAATGTATACAAAATGTATATTAAATTCCACTTTATCAGTAATGTTTATCCATCTGTGTTACATAGCAGCCAAATACCTATAAAATACAGGTATTTGTTGCTGAAGCAATGGAGCAAAGAATGTATGGCTGTTCGTTACCGTAGGATGACTGAGCTAAACCAGGTTACTGAAAGCATCATTGAAATGTCTGGATCATAGAATCATAGAACAGTTAGGGTTGGAAAGGACCTTAAGATCATCAAGTTCCAACCCCCTTGCCATGGGCAGGGACACCTCACACTAAACTATGTCACCCAAGGCTCTGCCCAGCCCGGCCTTGATCACCACCAGGGATGGAGCATTCACAGCTTCCTTGGGCAACCCATTCCAGTGCCTCACCACCCTTACAGGAAAGAACTTCCTCCTCATATGCAATCTAAACTTCCCATGTTTAAGTTTTAACCCATTACCCCTTGTCCTATGTTTAGTACCAAAGCTAAGCTGCGATATAGAGGAATATAAATTATGTATGTGAGGAGAAGAAGGGCAGAGCACTGACTGCAGAACTTAAATTTCCCAAGCAAAGAATATACATATGATATATGGATGTCTTAATTCTTTGACACACTTTTGATCGTAATGTGTTTTAAACAATCAGTAAGTAAGAGCTTGTTATTTAAAAAAATTTTTTTATGAGTCAAGTATTTTACAGAAGACCAAACAGGAACACAGAATTAAAGTTTCTCCTTTTTGCTTCCCCAAAAACAAACCCTACCTGTGTGAATTAGCTGCTTTTACCCTCCAGTCTCCCAAAACCTTCCATCTGAAACCTGTCCTTTTCTGTCTTCCCCTTTTTACTCTTCTTTGTCTCCGCTGTTTATCCATCTACTGGCTGACAGTGTCTTTACATCCAAAATGCAAAGCAGACAGATGGGCGTCTCAGGAAAGAACATGACCAAGAGCACCAGCATCGGCGGGGATATGTACACACTGGAGAAGAATGATGGCAGCCAGTCAGATACTGCAGTGGGCACTGTTGGCGGTGGTGGCAAAAAGAGACGCTCCAGCATCGGTGCAAAGATGGTTGCCATCGTGGGTCTCTCACGGAAAAGCCGTAGCACGTCACAACTCAGCCAAACTGGTAGGAACTGGAATTTTTTCCCTTTACAAACTATCATTTAAATGTACATTATGTGTATGTATTGTGGCTTAATCATTTAGATATCCCGTTGGAGTTGCCTAATCAACAACATTCTACAAATGAAGAAAATGGTCAAACATCTTTTTTTTTCTCTGGACACTTACTAAACTTGTTTGTTTGTTTGTTTTGCGAAGATCCTTTTCAGGTTGGACTGAGGCTTTTATTTTTCTGCTTGCTGGAACCTGCTTAAATCACTAATTCCTTGTTTCTCAGGAGCCAACATGAGCTGCTCAGCTTCTGATTTGGGGAGATCCTTACTGCAAGTTTCTGAAGGGTCACTGAAATGTTGCAAAATTCCTTTCTTTTGTCACAAATAGTGTTTGTGTCTTTCAGTATGGTTTTGTTTGTTTTCACATCTGAACAGGCAATCTTATTTTGAAATTAAATGATTTTCCTGAACAAATTATATATTTTATTGCTTTAGGACAAATGGTTTATTCCTTTAAAATTAATTTCTTTTCAGCTTATAAGCATATTCACCATGAGTATAAATATTCTTCATTTCTATTTACCTAAATTAAAATTTGATACTGAAATATTCTACCTAGGAAAAATGGAGTTTTTCTGCTTTGATGCCTAAAGCATTTACGAACTTACGCATTTTTTTCTTTTCCTCCTATTTCAGGGAAAATCCATATAATGCACTCTGAAAAGCTCTCATTGTCAATTGAGAAAGCTGTATAGGGCAAGTGTATTTTACATAGAAAAATGTAACTTGTATTTTAATGACAGACATATAGATAAAGTGTTTAAGCAATTTACGTAGTTATGCATTTATATTTTTATATATTTTAAGGTACATACATAAGATATACCGTATGTTCAGTATTCAAGCAAAACTGTTGTAACGTCATCATGGGGTTCAACGTAAGTTTATACTGTTCAGCTGTGTATGACCCCATCTGAAGGTCTCCATTGTGCTAACCAGCATTCAAACACTGATAAGAGATTTTTCAGTTCTCTGGAAAGCTTGCAGTTCATATTGTGAAACCAAAGTGATGAGATTTTTAATCTACAAGTAAATTGAGCAAAACTGTTATTTTCAATGTCAGAAATTGTGGTAAACTTTGTAAGAGGGGAAAGAAAGGGTAAGACTGCAGAGGGAGGAGGAGTACAGAAAGAGAGGAGGGATCTTGAGTGTGTCTTACTGAATGCAAGACAGGAGTGAATGAAGAAGAGGGAAAAGAACATATATAGTAAAAGCTCTGAATAGCATGCAGACTCCATCAGTAGGCAAGTCTTGCATCACTCTCATGTTTTACCAATTCACTTGTGAGTTATGGAAATGGCATTTTCATATACATTTCTACTTTCCCTGAGCTCAAATGAATGCAAGGCAAAAGATTACTTATCTTTATGCAGATCTGGGAAGTGTCTGGTTGGGCAATAAAAAAAGAAAAAGCTAATTAACTCACCTAGAAATTTAAATTTTACTCATGTGATAGCATGTAGGTATGTAACTTTTTTGATGTATTTGAATATTGAGTCTAATACAATACAGTACAGTACTAGTTCTGATTTAATCTTGGTTCTCTTACTGTACAAGACGTTAAATTGGATGCCATCTCTTTATGTTGTTCAAGTATGTCTTAGCACTAGCGAGAATCCATGGTGTGTGGTTTGCCTAGATTTGATTTAAATACCATGCTGTCTTAGTTATTTGGGACTTTTGATCTGAAGTTTTTCTTTCTGTTATATCCAGTCAGTTGCCCAAAAACTGAGTCAAGACAGGGAGATATGTGCAATGTAATTCTTTCGAAAGTACTTGACCTGTTGACTATGAATGGGTTGTTCTGTAAAGCTCTTGAATAACAAGCTATACTTCAGTGCTGAGAGAGAAGCATCAGGAACAAGGAGTGCCCACACAACCCTGGCTGGCAGCCCTTCTCCCATGGGTGCTCCCTGGGAGAGATCTGTGCTTGCTCTAGCCTGTGACTGGCCCCAGCGAGAGCAGACAGTGAACCTCCTGCTGCTTTCCGGACAGGCCTCTGGGATATTGGTTGGATATGGGTTGTTTCGTAAAGATGTTACCGCACACCAGCTCCTGCTGTCCTATTTGACAGTGCTCCTCAGGGGCCTTGTCTGGTGGCCACACGTGGCTGCACCTAACAGGACACGCATGCACATCATTTAAATACTTGGGTCATGTGAACACACTGATCATACCATATATGTATGGTTCTATGTCTCCAATGACACAAGATAATGACCTGCTGGGTGCATGAGGGTGAGGTCACATCACAAAGTGTCTTGCATGTTTTAAGCATCTTTCAATATGAGGGCAGTCAGACACTGGAACAGGTTGCTCAGAGAAACTGTGGATGCCCCATACCTGGAAGTGTTCAAGGCCAGGTTGGACAGAGGTTTGAGCAACATGGTCTGGTGGAAGGTGTCCCTGCCTGTGTCAGGTTGGTTGAAACTGGATGATCTTTAAGGTGCCTTCCAACCCAAAGCATTCTATGATTCTACCCATCAGAGCATCTTAAAGAAAATACTGGACAACAGTGTTATACGTGAACGCTAGAGGTTTAAAACCTGCAGTTAATATAGTTAATGAATGTATATATTTCCCTGGTTTATCCCACTGTGTTTCTGTTTTCAGATAGTAAGTGCCTGCACAAAAAATCATGTACTGGTACAAGCATTGATGCGAGGTCTGGAATCAAAACACTAATGTGCTGTAGACATCCTGTAAGTACAGTGTTCTGGAGCTGAGAGGCAGGGGATACTCAGGTGGCACCACGGAGAAACTGGTTGAAGTATAAAGGGCTCTTAGTTAAATTCTTAAGAAATTATGTTATTCAATTGGTCAGCTAAGTATCTTCTTACATATCGGGCTTGAAAAGCATACAGATATCATGAGATAACAATACGATTCTATAGAAAGTTGTGGTCATGTTTATAGCAACTAGGCTTTTATAAACTGTGTGCTCATACTGAAGTCAGTGAAGAAATGCCTATCAGTAACTGAAACTTTTTCAAGTGTTTTGTAAGCATCGTATTTTATAACTAAATCTATGCCATAAGTTTTTCTGAAAGTAGGTCATCATACCTGTTTTCAGTACTCTGAATCAGACTTAGAATAAATGTCTTATAAGGTCCATTTTTACTGTCTTTTCAAATTAGTATTATGTTATTTCTTGTTATTTGGCGTAATATTAAGAAATTGACACTCAAAATACCACAAAGTATTTTTTTATTCTGGTCTGTAATTCTTTTAGTGTATTCAGGTAGGAACAGTTGTTTGGGTTTTTACATGTTGATTTGTTGTTACAGGTGGGAGTAAAAGGATTAACTATTGTTGTTTTCATTATTATTGTTGTTATTACTATTATTATTAATATCATTATTATTACCTAACAACAGTATTTGGACTTCATTCACCTATGGCTATATATTCTTCAGAATATATATAGTGCATAGTCTCTCCAGAGATAGAACTGACTACATCTGAAATATGAAAAAAAAATAGTAAGCATTTATTTTTCCTCCTGACATACACAGTCTTAAATGCTTAGAAAATTGCTTATCCAGTAACTCTGCTGACCAAGCCCATCAAGGGTAATTTATGAGATTCAGATAATAGTTCAAGAAGTTGAAAAGATCTGACCTCATTAATTTAGGTAGGAGGAACTGATCTTTTCAGATTATTGTAGCAAGATAATCCAAGTGTGTTCTCATATCCGTTACATGAAAAGATCTTCAGTGTTGCTCTATGGATCACTGTTGTTATGGGAAAGGAAAGAGCAAAAAAAAAAAAAAGCAAGTGTTAAGACCATGGGAATACAGAAAACATGAATAAAAATAGATGAGAGTCATTCTCTGTTTTCCATTTCATCTTAAAGGAGAGCTGTAATTTATTTCTTAGAAGTTCATACTCCTTTTAGCAATGTATATCACTGCTGTAACATTTCTTTCCAATTATTTCTTTTAATGAAAATTTTAGTTGTGAGGATATACAAGATCAGTATTTCATGAACTTATTTGATGCATTTCAAAGCAACTTAGGGGAAAAAAAATCGGAAATTCCTACAATTAAGCTAATGATTGGACGACACAAAACTGCTTTTATTTAATGTATGTTTTACGTAAGATAAAACTTAAGTAAAAGACAAGATACTATAGTGTAGAATGGCAAGGTAAATCAGAATTTATTTTAGTTCTGGTTCCTGTACCTTTTTAGTGCTACAAAAAGTAGATAATGGAATAGTCCCTACAACTAAGTCCAGCAAACATTCCTAGAAGCTAACATTTGGTGGGGTGGGAAGAGTTTATGTTGTACCCTTCGGGTCCTGATTCCACAGGCATTCTTCCTTGTGGAAAAGATGGTTTTCTTTACAGAGGAAAATGAAATATAAAATGCAAATCCCAAGCAGTGCCTTAACAGTGTTTGCTTAGCTATACATACCTGGAATGCAGTCCTTTCCCTGCAGGACAGCCCTGAGGAAACTGATGACCAAGTTTCCATACATGTGCAGACCTGTAACACTCTGTGTGTTAAAAGCCAGATTTTATATTCTGTATGGTTAGTAGGGTGAAACTATGGTCTAAAGTGCTGTACTCATAAGTAGAATAGTCTCAGTTATGTCTGTCATTAACCAACCATGTAGCCTGTAGATCAATTTCTTCAATTACTGGAATAATTGAAGAGACTGTGTTGGGAACATCAGTCTTGGTCTTGTGTGGAATTTCACATTCCTCAATTCAAAGTTCAGATTGATATAAAAAACAGTCTTCTACCACACATACAATACATATGTTTCCTACTAAAAAGATGATTAACCATTTCCACCATTGGTAACTAAGGAAGGAACAACGTGAATGCCTTTCATTGTCTAAAATGAGATAGAATATAAGCAAATAACTTACTGAACTAAAAGTGTATGTCTTCTCATAATATACATTGTTATTTTCTATCCCTGAAATTAATTTGTATGGCC